TCCAAGAATGTCGTGTCAAGTTTCTGGACAAGTGTTATTCTGGAGACCAGAGTTTCCACTATAGCGTCTAATCTCTGATCGAGTCGTGATTCGAATCCATCAATCTTATTTGAGATCTCAGCCACCTGCTCCAATATTTTATCTATTCTCTCGCTGGTATCGTCCATGAATGATTCATACATATCATAGCCAGCCTTTATTTTACTTCCTACTTCATATCCAAATTTCGCAAGTTTCCACAAGTCACTCAGACTTGGCATCATAAATGGTGCCACTTGCACAAACGGCACAATCAATACGAGCCGTAATAACAACATCTTGTCCAGCTCTTATTTGCACAATCAAATGGAGACGAACCATCGTTTCATTAATGCCCATATTTATATAATGCGTAATCCATGAAAATCGATTTATATCATTTTTTTTATTTACTGTTTAATGCAGTCATTATTCCTCTACACATTTTATGAGTGGAAGACGATATAAAAATGTAGGCCATAAAGATGGACCTTGCCGATATGATACGAACTATCGAATGGGTTATGATGAATTTCTCATTAACCAGTCATGAGGAAAAATTCATGTATTTATTCTTTTAACGGCAATTATCAACCTGATATATAGTGTTGATCAGACAATAATTCATCAATTTATATCGTGTCACTTATTGCCTTTTGTAGTGTGATACGAAGACCATTCTTAAACTAGTTCTAGATCTAATATGAATTAATACGAATCACAAGCCGATTAGGCTGGCAGGTATGTTTTCGAAGAATATTTCTCGATAAGCAATAATCATTGGTAAGTATTGTGTTCAATGTTCATTGTATAATTGTTGAAATCAGTCGAAAATTTTCTGTACGTTTACATAAAAATTTAATCAAAAATGAATTCCGAATATTTGTTACACGTTCTCATGGCAAGTCGTTCATTATTCATGCAATACCCGACACTGAATGGTTTTAGGGAGGAGGGAAAATAGTCGTGTGAATGTACGTCGAGGGATGATTCGCTGGAGAGAGAGCAGCGAATTCCATTTGCCTCTAAACCCATGGCAAAGTGATACGACTCGCTTTGCATTCGAATGGTTGCTTCGGTATATATCTGAACGTTTGAGAATTTTCAGTTCGACGAAGAGCAGAGACGGAGAAACGAGAGAGAGAGAGAGAGAGAATGAAAAAAAATTCAGTGAAAAAAAAAGTGGCTGAATAAAAAAGAATGAAATTGGTCCAAGCGATTTGCGCCTTCTCGCGGTATATATTCGGACCATCATTAGACCGATGGTTGAGGCCCGATGGCTTCAGTATTTGCATCTCGAGGAAATTCTCTCTCAACTACGAGACTTTTTCACCAGTTCTCTCCCATTTTAGCATATTCAGCGCGTAAAGTTCCTCCCGCCGTTGCATCGAAAATAGAGTCGTAAAACGTCGCATCCGCGACGCCGTTATGCGATCACACCGTTACCCGTAGATTTACGAGTGATTCGATCTTTTGGTATCGCCGTCTCCCCCGCTCTTCCCTTTTTTTTCGTCACGGATAATAAAAAAGGATTAAAGGATACTTCCATGGTAATTCAATCAGAGCGAATGCTGTTTCGACATTTTGATGATGAATTTTTTCCCTGCCATCGCTGTCCATTAACCTCAAGAAATTTCAATGAATGAATGCTATTTCGAAAAAAAAAGATTACTTTTACCCAGTACGAGCTGGTGGAATAATACATCTACTGATCAAGCATAAATAATGTTGAGAACTAGTTTCACTACTCATTGCCAGTATTTTTAATACTTTCTTCGAGTTGCAAATCTCCTGGTAAAATGCAACCTTTTAATATTTCTCAATTGCTGTTAGCACTTCTCACGATGTCTTCATTGAGAGACGTAAAAATTTGTATTCAGTAAATAGAATTAGCTTCTT